CTCACAATGTAGAAATCTTGGGTGGCTTTATCCCCAGTCCTGCAGAAGGATTTGTGATGGCTTTGAGAATAAATAGACCAAAGAATGGTGGCAAGGTTGGTCATATAATCCTGTGGATTCTACTGTAAGAATTTGATCTCTTTCATCTCTGAAGGAGGACAGAGAGGCTCTGAGCTGCTTGAATGGAAACTGCAGCAAAGAATGCTAGTTATTTTTCTTTCTGGCAAAAGTCAAATACCATATGCTAGCCCCAAACAATACAGCAAGATTCACATCTTGCATTCTGCTGACACTGGTGGTATATTGCTAACATAGGGGCTAACTTTGTTGGCATCTCTGAAATGCTGACTTGTCCTACAGTTGATGAAGAGAGAGAAAAAAGAGAAGTCTTATCTGTGTATTGTTTCTCTGTAATTTACTTAGTAAGAGCCAAGCAGAGTTGCAGCTCTGCAGGTTTTCTTATGGTAAAATACAACCACTGGTGGAACAGCTGTGTGTCTGCATGTGGGTTTGTATGTACACATGCCCAGAGCTTGTTCAGATGCTGCAGAGAAGCACTTTAGCTGAATACTACTTGCATGCAGTCGGTTGATGCACACTGTGGAAACTTACCAGGATAACTACAAATATCAAAGTCAGTGTGGTTTTCTGCTGGCTTTTGATAAGGCAGTTAGGTTACCACAGTGAATTAGCAGTAATTTGGTTAGCATTGTAGTGAGTTTATTCTTCTCTTGTCTCCAAGTTTACTTGAATTGTGTGTCAGTTGTACAAAGTTCAAGCTCTCCTGTGACCAAACAGCCATATGTGACAGCAGATGGGCACAATGAGGCTGTGTCTGTGAGCATGGAATGGAATCATCAGCTGTGTTCATCAAATGTCATGGCCAGAAACAGCCCAGGAAGTGACTTACAGGACTTTATCAGCTGCACCAGAAAAAGGTGAGGAGAAGAAAAGTAGTGGTAAATAAACTACTGATATCAGCTAAGAAATGGAGGCCAAGCTAGTTTGCTATTCAAGGAGAAAACAATACATCTTCCAAGTTATTAGGATTTATGAGCAAGCAATTATGTGTCTTCAAATGGTTTATACCTATTTTTGTCTGTCTAGATGTACTTGGCATGCCTGGCACCCAGGGAAAGCCAGGGACAGCCCCACCAGAGGAGCTGCAATGCTGGACCTTTTGCTCACCAATGAAAGTGAACTGATTGGTGACATCAGGATTGGAGGCTGCTGGGGCTGCAGTGACCATGCAGTGATGGAGTTCACACTCTTGAGAGATATCAGATACACAAAGAGTAAAATCAGGAAGTTTAATTTTAGGAAGGCCAACTTCCAGCTCATCAGGCAGTTAGTCAACAAAATCCTCTGGGAATCTGGTCTCAAGGACAAGGGAATGGAGCAGAGCTGACAGGTGTTTAAAGAAGCTTTCCTGAGGGCACAAGAGCTCTCCATCCCCAAGTGTAGGAAGTCAGGAAAGGAAGGCAAGAAATCAGCATGGCTGAATCAGGACCTGCTGGTCAAACTGGAGAGCAAGAAGAAAATGCACAGGCAGTGACAACAGGGATGCTGCTGGGCTGTGTAGGGATGAGGTCAGGAAGGCCAAGGCCCAACTGAAAGTGGATTTGTTAAGGGGCACAAAGAAGGGTAAGAAGGGCTTCTGTGGGTACAGCAACTGGAAAAGTCCAGGAAGGTGTACCCCCTCTAGTGGATAATATAGCCATGCTGATAACAACAGACAAGGAAAAGGCAGAAGTACTCAACAGCATTTTGGCCTCAGCCTTCACTAGCGACTGCTCTACACAGTCTTCCAGTAGATGGCTCCATATGTGGTCATTTTTATACAGAAATACAGAATTCTTCCAATGAAAATAATAAATCCGCTCAAACTGAAGCTAACTTCAGTCCCTGCATAACCATCTTGAGAAAGTTGCTATTGCTAGTATGCAAGAAAATTTCTTCTGAGCCAGTAAAATAGGATACTTGAATATGAGGATGTGATGTACTTAAAGTTGAGTGACTTCCTTCTATATACCATGAATTACTTTCTTATTTTGTTTATTTAAAAAAAAAAAAAGGATACTTGCATGGGTGATGACATCTATGGTTACTTTAGAGAAAGGATAAAAGAGAAAGCTGACAAAGATCAGCTAGGATCTGCCCTGCATGTCATATTTCTGCACAGTTACATTGGCTGCTTCATGGATGTTTGCTTCATCTGCCAGAATGCTTTGACACAGTGATTCACGGTGACATCTCACATTGCTGACTGAGGCATACAGGGAGTTTCTTTCATCTCTGCTCAGGTGCTGAGTTAGGAATAGCCTTCAACAGCTATGCACATGGATATGCCTTGGCTTCTATGAGTTCCTCTTCTTTCTTGAAAACAAAACATCAGTACTGTAAATGTGAGGACCAAGATTTTTTTGAGAAATGCAGTTCTGGGCTCTAGGAATGCAAGAACAGAATTTCTCCAATTTGTTTCTTTTGGTGGGGAATTTCAGAAACATGAGGCTTTATATCTGTGATTATATATATCTGTAACCTCAAGTGAAAATACTTTCATTTTGTTTCTGCATTACTTGTTTGTACTGTAACTTTGCATAGCAGTTGCACCTTGCGGCATACAACTGATAACTGGCCATGCTGCCAGATTGCTGCCAGAACTCTGAAACAGTTACAAACTAATTCTGATCTTGTGCAATACTTCCTGCATTTCTGCATGACCCCTGCCTTCCTTACCTTGTTTGAGAAAGACAAGATTGTCCAAAAGTGTGTACCCAACCTCTGGAAGATATTTTGCTGTCATTTAATCTTCATAGCCTGGAAATCCCGTGTTTTCTATCTGCGGAACTGTTCTATCAGTGGAACTGAACTGATGTTTGTTTTGTATTTTTGCTACTGGAAGAAATATGGCAGCAGGAGGTGGGTCTCTAGCACCAATGAATGAATTCTAAGAGCAGCTGTGATGTTACATATCTCTGATAAACCCGCATGAACATGTGCTGAGCTGGTTCACTTGTGTCAGATTCTGACATGACTGCACATGATGTGAAATAGCACCAGAAGCCCTTGTAAACTTCTCTAGGTGTGACCAGAGGGGTGTTATATGTATCACATCCTGCACATACCTGGCATCACAGAATATGCAGAGGTGAAGAACAGCCAAAAGGAAAAAGGAGGCCAGCAGACAAGCACGGCTGATGACACAGTGATGAAACTGTGCAGTGCGGTCTAAAGAGAAACAGTTATTTTAAGTGCACCTCACAAACCATTTACTGCATGCCTGACAGAATCACACCTTCTAGAAAATATTATTTGCCGTATACTTCTGAATAAGACTAATTTCAGCCTTATTTTTAGAAAGGAAGAGTACCATGTTTATCTTCTTGCCTAGAATTTCACAGAGCACTTTTCAATTCTGACAGCACATTTGTTTATCACAGAATCACAGAATCACCCGGGTTGGAAGGGACCTCAAGGGTCCAACCTGGCCTTGAACACGTCCAAGGACGGGGCATCCACAACCTCCCTGGGCAGCCCGTTCCAGGGCCTAACTACTCTCCTTGTGAAGAACTTCCCCCTAACATCCAACCTAAATCTTCCCTCCTTCAACTTGGATCCATTTCCCCTAGTCCTGCTGTTGTCAGCCCTTCTGAAGAGTTGACTCCCCTCCTGGGTGTAGGTTCCCTTCAGGTATTGATAGGCTGCAATGAGGTCACCCCGCAGCCTTCTCTTCTCCAGGCTGAACAAGCCCAACTCCCTCAGCCTGTCCTCATAGGGGAGGTGCTCCAGCCCCCTGATCATCTTAGTCGCCCTCCTCTGGACCCTTTCCAAGATCTCTACATCTTTCTTGTACTGAGGGCTCCACACCTGGACACAGTACTCCAGATGGGGCCTCACAAGAGCAGAGTAGAGAGGGACAATCACCTCCCTCTCCCTGCTGACCACCCCTCTCCTGATGGAGCCCAGGATCCCATTTGCCTTTCGAGGATCCCATTTGCCTTTCGAAAATCCTTCCCCACCCCAACAAATTTCTCACTGGAAACTTCAGCTCAGCTGCATGGTTGCAGTCATGCCATTGTCACTGACGTCTTAGTGCAGGAACAGAGGGCTAAACAGGAAGCTGAGCACACAAAGGGAAGCTTACGTGAGGAGCAGTCTATGGACTTGGCCTCGTTCAGAGTTGTGTGTGACACAATGCAGGTAGGATTCTTCCCATCGCTGCTATGTGCTGCAAACCTGCTGAGAACTGTCACTGTCCCGTTACTGTGACTGTCTGCTCTGGGTGTGGAGTTGCTCTGTGGGACCCACGAGATCTCAGCAGCCGGCTTCTCTGTCTCTGCCTCGCACACAGGGTTCCCGTGGTCATCGCAGTACAGAGCCATTCTCGGGGAAACTGCAGAGCACCAGGAAGGGGGGAGATGCGTGTGGGTTGCTGCAGTGGGATAGGAGGTTTTACTGACTATCCAAAGGGATCGTAGTGAGAACAGGGGAATTGGAAGTGCCATCTCATCACAGCAATGTGTTCCAAAGCCACAGGAGACAAGGGTAGATCTTTTTTCATTCTGGACAATTCTTCTACATTCAAGTGAGCTACTACAGCCACGTGCCTTGAGAGGAGGTATTCCTGGACATGGAGGTAGGGAATACCCCAGAATACAGGGCTGAATTAGACTAGTCCCAAGCAGCTGTTACTGAGTGACTGCAGGATATCAGTGTGCTCATTCAGAATCCTTCTTTAAAGTACTCTAAATTGCTTCACACTCATCATTTATAACTCTACAGGGGAGAAAGTGGCAATAGAAGGTAAGAGAGTTTTGGCAAATAACGAAAGGGAAGAAACAGAGTTACTCTACATGAAATGCATGACCCTTTCTAGCCATGAGAAAGCTGCTCTTCTTACCAGACACTTCCTCTAGTGCACATGGACAGTAGCTTTGTTTGCCCAGGCCTGGACACGGTCCTCTGGAGAAGAGGGAAATGAGGAAGGAGACCCTTACCTTGCACAGTCAGGTGATACGGGCCATGGAAATTCCCATCTGCATTTACCACTTCGCAGGTGTAATTTCCCTCATCAGCCATTCCTACTTGCTGTATCTCAAGTGCATGATCCCAGTCTGGTCTGGATCTCCAGTTTATTCTGTCACTGCAGTTGGTTTTTTCTCTCTTGTTACTACCAATCAGGTATGCAAAGGTGCATTGGCCTCCAGTCTTGGGGCTTATTTTCCATGTTACCATAGTTATATTTGTTTTGTTAGGGCAGGTCATCACAGCGCTGTGACCCAGGTGTGCTGACACTCTGTTAATTCCTGGAGGAGACAAGGAAGGAGAAAGAGGTATGAAAAGGTGTCCAAGGATGTTACGTATGGCCTTGGAGTTCTTGTCTGTGCTTCACGGGCAAATGTCAGCACCATTACATTCTGAAGTGAGGTCCTGTCACCACCAGCCCAAGAGCTGCGTGTCTCGTTTTAGACAGAAACCAATTGCCAAATTCATGGCTGTGTTTGCCAAAGTCGGTCCTTCGTTTTTCTCCTTTCCTCTGCACAGCCCATTCCCTAAACCGATGGATAAGTAACATGACTTGGAAGCAAAGGCTGGCTGAGCCCATTGGCATGGGAAGGTCTCCTGGAGTTCCCTTCCCTCAGCATCATTGCCCAGTACAGGAGAAGAACCAACAAAGACTGACTCCTGTTTTGTGGTAGATATGAGCAACCCCCCCAGTCAGGGCAAGCACAAGAGTCAAATTCTCTCCTGCCACTCAAAAACTTATGTGAACCGATTTCCCTGATTATGGCGCCATCAAATGAAAAATGATGAAGTAGAAGAGTAAATACAACATTTAGCTGAAAGAAAACACATGCCAGTTTTCTGACAGATGGAGAAACCCCTGACAGACTCAAGATCACTGCCCCACAACCCTCTGTCCTACCTGGTCCCAACAAAAAACAACATACAAAAACAAAGACAAAAAAAAATAATGACATGAATTTGCATAGTTAATGTATGGTAAGAAGGAGAAAGCTTATTGCTATATTTTCTGATCCCACATTGTTGGAACTTAGCTTTTTTAAGTGTTTAACTGAATTTGTGAAGGAGAAAGTGCCTTCACAGCAAATCTTAAACTCTTGCACGCTACTGGTTTCCATCAGAAATTCCCTTTGGCAATTTCTAAGATCCTTTCCCTTACTTTTTTTGGTTGATTTTTTTTCCCCATCTGAAGAAGAATTGAGAAAAAGATCATTGTGATGCAGCGCTCCTTCCTCCTCAGCCCTTCATAGACACTTGATCCCTAAATACTGTCAGAACTACCTGTAGCTCCTGTGACTGCGGTGCTGGTGAGCAGAACGACAGTCCATGTGGTGCTCCTGACCACTTCCAAGGCAGCTCTCGTTTTCATGGGTGATGCAGGCTTCTTGCACCATCCAGCTTGCTGTGAGTTCCCCATCTTCCCCTGCTAGGGATCCACAGCACTTAGAGCCACTGCTCTTCCTGTGCTCATACAGACCCCTGACTGTAGCTACAGCTTGATGGTTATTCATATCACAAAGCTTCTTCCTGTGCAGTGAATTGGTCAACATAAAGGAAGTGGTATTGGTATTCGCTTTCTGTTTTCTGGACTTTTGCATAATGTTACTTAGAGAAGATAAAATCTGTAGCAGAGGTTGCACAAAGTACAAGCAGAGTGACTTTTAGTCTGGCTCTTATCCAACAGTGGGGATTTTATCATCAAGAATGGGGGCAAGGTTATTCTTATCCTACTGCTTAAAGGATGCTCGGCATATTAAAAAGCCAAATAAAACCCTCTTAAAATCCATTTCCCTTCCAGCCTACTCTATTTTCCTCTTGTACCAAACAGCCTAAGACTTCTTCTCTAAAATGTATTGCCAGTCCCTGCTCCCCTCCAGGCAGGGAAGGTGGGTAAGTAGAGGCTGCCCACGTGATTAAGCCTGCTGTCATATCAGCAAAGATACCTTCCTAGATATAAGATGTACCTCTTTGGAAATTAATGCAGTGAATGGAGTTTTATCTCCAAAGTGTTAGCCTTCCCAGCGCTTGAAGCCACCGGGCTGGAATGAGGTGCTGCCTGTTTTGCCTGTTCCTAAGGGAACAGAGCTCTTTGCCCCACAGCAGTCATCTGTTTTATAGATGTCCATGGCTGTGCTGAAATGTGCCTGCCTGAAAGGGCTTTGGTCCTCTGGTCAAACAGACACAAAGCATCCACAGATGAAGAAACCATTGGCAAGAAGGCAGATATCTCACCACCATCCCTCCTCCAAATTGCAGGTGTTAGCTGAGAAGGGGCATAGCGCCCATTGATGACTCAAAGGTGAATCTGGATAAGTTCAAGAGGTAAGTTGGGTTCCTGTGCTCACAGTTTCTGTATTTAGAATAGCCAACAGTCACGATACACTGAAATTTTCATCTCTGCCGTTGTTGCAGTTTTGTTTCCAAAATATTTGACAAGCAATTTCAGCTACCTTGGTCAGTACAGCCTCTGCTGTGTGGTTTGGAGGTCATGTGCAACAAGCATTTAAAATGTTTAGACACGAGCCCAAGATGAAAAGAACATATTTAACAGTCTTAAATATTTAACATATTTAACACAGATATCCCTCTAGCATGGGAGCTTCAGCCACTTCCTCTTGACGACAGAGCTTAGCACTAAAGGACAGGGGAAGAAAACATAGCCTGAGCCATGAAAACTGGAAGCACTGAGGTTCACATTCTCCTAGTTAATGTCGTTTTTTCAGTTTGAATTACAAGCTGCTCACAGCACAGCAATTTACTGCATGCCTATGATGAAGGGAAAGGCCATGAAAGTGCAATATGGATGGGGTCCAGTGGTGGGGCTGGCTGCTGTTTCTCAAGTTTTGGAAGGTCAGCCTCTGTCGTCCTTTAACACTGGAGCCACACAGAATGGTAATATGGTGGCACGAGCATCATTGGTGTCACAGGTAGTTGCTCTGTGCAGCAGAGCTTCTGACCGGGCTGTTTTACATCTGCCTCTAGCACATCTTTGGAGCTGGTTCTAAATGTCGTTCAGCCTCAGACTGTTTCCTCCACCTCAGTTCAGACTTCTGTGGTTTGGGAGACTGATTTTCTCGTGGTAGCAAAGTACAGTGAATGACTGCAAGGTGCCCTGCTTCCTTTGTGTCATTTCTTCAATGCTGCAGGAGTCCTGGGGGGACTTTGTGCATGCATCACGCCTCTAGCAGTGGCCTTATCCTTCCCATTTCCTCCCCAGTTAGTGATGTACCAATGGCTGTTTTTAGCTACCGGTGTCCCAAAGCGCACTGCGGAGCAGTTGCTCGCCAGCTGGCTCACCCCCGGGCACCAAATGGCAAACACCTCCTCAAGTCCTGGCGTCCGTGTAAGGGTGTTTCCATGTGCACACACTGCCTGCACCCTCACTTCCATCTTGTGGGCATAGCGAGCAACAACAACCACTTGGGAAGCTCCTCCTATTACATGAGAGTCCGACCTTTTGCATCGCCTGGGCTGCACGGAATGAAGGGGAATTGTTCCAGGCTACATTTATGTCGGTTGCTCCTGAAGTAATGGCTCCTAATTATATCCATGGAAACTACAACAGATACAAAGAACACAATAACACTATTTGATTGAGCAAATTCTCAGCGACAAAACACTAGTTTTCAAAATAGTCACCAGATTAGCTATGAATTTTCGCAAGCAATGAACAGGAGCTGCCCTGCATATCACACTCGTCAAAACCTGCACCAGCGGAGGTGCCCCACTGTCATCACTGCTGAAACGCACCACCCACTGCCTCACTGTGCTCACATCCACTGTTGGATCTCCACAAATGTTCAGCAAGCATCAGTGAATGTCATCGGGTGCCATTTTTTCTCCATGAAGTAACTCGGTGGCACAGCTTTGCTTCATCCACACTCCCATGCCAGATGCAGTTCTGTCACACTGCCCCTCCGCTGTCGTGTGGCCATCTGTCCATCTGTCGCGTGGAAACACAAGGAAATATTGGCAGGAAGGTTCCACCTCTACTGCCATACCAGCAACATCCACCTCTGGTGTTGTTGGCCAACATAATAAAATAAGAGGCATTACTTTTGGAGAGCTCATCATAAAATATATAATATAATTAGTGAATGTAAGTAACAAAACTTCTTTCATTGGCATGAATAAGGTGTGACTGTGAAGAGAAGGGTAAATAGAGGTCTGGTGGCAGGACGTGATCAGATTTTTATTTGCAGCTCCATACATTCCATTTGAAAACTCACAGGTAATGTACTGAAAATGGTACCGCAAATAAACTAAAACTTTGATGATTTTTTCAGCCATCCTGAAACGCATTCTCAAATCCCTGCATCAAAACAGAAGCACAGAGGACTGTGGTGGCCCAGTGTAACACACTGCATAACCCCGCTGGCCACCACTTGAGCTGGCACCGCACTGCGCCCCGTGTCCCGGTCCCAGCCCGGATGGGGTCACAGCGCACCGATGTCCCGTTGGTGCTGAGGGGCCGGGCCGCATGGCGGGAAGAGACACCGCCATCGTGGTGTGGGGCAGGGAACGGCTGCAGGGAGAGCTGTGCCGGGCCGTGTGAGGGCTGCGGGTGGGACATGCCTGCTCTATCTGAATGAAAGGATGGTTGGTTCCAAAAACCCACTTCATTTTACTTTCAGAAATGGCCTTTGTTGCTTTCCAGTGTTACTGGATTTACACATTTCCAAATAAACGTTTTCACCTGGATCTCCATCTGACATGTTTTCTGTGCAGATCACTAGAGAATTCTGTATACCACATTGTAGATCTTCAAGGAACAGGAGCCATCTCATGCAATGGAAACCTCAAAACTGTGACCCGTGTGACCCACGGAGCCCTCAGCATCACTGGATTGTGTCACATGCAGCCTCTGGATGCCATGGCCACAGAAACTCCCATATGCTAAGAAGGGCAGTGTTGGACTGCTGCCTGTATGCCTGCTACAAAAAGCAGCTGTCAGAGGCTGTTCCATCGGAATAGGCCCCCCAAGGAGGTGGTTGAGTCACCATCGCTGGATGTGCTTAAAAACCATTTGGATGTGGTGCTCAGGGACACGATTTAGCCGTGGGTTGTTAAAGTAAGGATAGTGTGGTTAGATAGTGGTTGGACTTGATGACCTTCAAGGTCTTTTTCAACCTGAGCGATTCTATGGTTACCTAAAGGATGTCCCTTCATATCCACACACGGCCAGCCTGGTCAGCAGCCTAAGCTTTTTCTCTCTGTTAGTCTATGATTTGTTCGCATTACCGGGGACAACAGGAATAGATATCTCTACATATCTACTGTCTGTATTGTATCCGTTGTAGTTTCCATGAATACAATTCGGAGGCATTGCTTTGGGAGCAACCGAAGTATATGCAGCTCAAGACAACTTTCCTTCACTCAGCGCGGCCCGAGCAAGCCAATAGCTCAGACACCGACGGGTTAAACACTGCGTAGCGCCGAGCCCGCCCCGCCCCGCCCCGCCCCGCCCGCCGCCGCCTTCCGGGCAGCGCCGCCGCTATGCTGTTGCTGCGGGCGGCGCGGAGCCGCGCGGGGGGTCCGTATGGCCACTCTCCTTTGCCGCTGGCCGGCCTCTCGCAGGTGTTGAAGCTGGAGCGGAGCCGCCGAGACGGCGTCATGTTCCCGCTGCAGCGGCTGGCGCGCAACCTGGCTCCCGGCGCAGAGGAGGCGGCCTTCAATCTGTTCCAGCCCGGGCTGCCCGCGCTGCAGCGCGCCGAGATGCTTTTCACCTCCCGCCGCGGTCACGCCATCGACTACGTGAGCTCCGCCGTGCGTATGGAGCACGCCCCGACGTCCGCGCGGCCCGAGGTCAGGACGCGGCCGGGACAGCGGGGAGGCCGGGTGGGTGGGCTTGGCGACCCCAGCGCTGTGGTTTTGTCCCCGTTGTGCCACGTGCGTCTGCAGAAGCGGCGGTGGGTGCCGGCCGCCCCGTGCTGAAGGGCGGTGTGGAAATGCTCGCTCTTCTCTAGCACAGGTGTGCTTCATCGGCCGGAGCAACGTGGGCAAGTCGTCGTTAATCCGGGCCTTGTTCTCGCTGGCTCCAGAAGTGGAGGTCAGAGTGTCAAAAACTCCAGTAAGTGCCGTTTATAACTTCTGCTTCTCTGGGCCAAAAGCTGCTGGTAACCCAGGCGGTGTGACTGAGGAAGAGGGAAAGGCTCGAGTAGAAGGAGAGCAGCCAGCGCTGGCCTGGCTTTTGCACAAAGAAAGGTGGGAAGCAGTCAGCATAGCTCCTCAGCCTTAGTGCGTAACACACCTGGCACATGGAGTAAAAGAACCCTTTGTAAAAGAACCAAGATACCTGTGAAGGTATTTTTAGTTGATTATTTTAAAGATAGAACCATAGAGGATTGTGAGAAGAAGAGGAGATGACAGCTTATGTACGGGGTATGGAACAGAGACCACTTTCAGGCTGTCACCTAGCTGCCCATCTTAGCATCTCTTTCTTCTTTTCTAAATCCTCTCCCCAGGGCCACACAAAGAAGATGAATTTCTTCAACGTAGGGAAGTACTTCACTTTGGTGGATATGCCAGGGTATGGCTACCGTGCCCCAAAAGACTTCGTGGATATGGTGGAGGCTTATCTGCAGGAGCGGCACAAGTAAGGGACTTCACTATACCTCAATGCAGTAATGAGAGATGCATGCCTAATTTGCAGATTCATGTAATCAGAAGATAAAATGCCACAGAGCTAGCAGCATTCAGTGGTCATGTTGATGAGTCTGAAGTTGTTCCCTGGAAACCTGTGGTGACCCTTATTCAGTCACTCACTCATGTTTAGCCAGATCGAACAGCAGAAGATATGAAGGTGCTGCTCCATGCTGAACTCTCAGCTGCCGTGCATGGCTTTTCTTGGCTTTTCTTTCTCCAAATCTTGCATTTCTTGTTCTTGCTTATGACTTTGGCAGTAGCACAGCAGGATAAAATAATGGTGCTGACTATTGTTGCCTGTATTTCTGACAGCTTGAAGAGGACTTTTCTATTAGTCGATGCTGTGGTAGGAATCCAGAGCACAGATCTTATTGCAGTAGAGATGCTGGAGGAGTTTGGGATTCCTTATGTGGTAAGTAATACTTTGTTCTTGAGAAGGTGGAAGCAGTAGGAAAACTTGACTGGTGTTAGATTACCTTTAGCATATAACTATAAAGGAATGTACCTCCTACCTGAACTTGAACTACCTCACTAGTAATACCATCCACTCCGCCTTCTTTATTGATAATAAAATAGATCCAAGGTTTGTTTGGGGGCATCTGAGGGATTTTTTAAAATTTATTTATTGACAATTTTTCAGTGCTCAGCTCAAGGAACATGAAAAGGTCTATAGCCTGTGCAGGCTGTGGTGGTGTT